GTTTTGTGGGAATATTTTGTATGGGATATTGTCTGCTGATATGAAGTTCACTGTATATATCGTAATAACAAATAGAATTTGACAGCGATGATACTTTGTTTTCTTTTTACATTTAAACGTGTTAAATATTACATATACGTATGTAATATGATGTGTATTTCCATCACAGGCTTGGTCTTAAATTTCACATAAGGTGGTATTAAAAAGGTCTTAAAAAGTCTTAAATGTAACTTGTTCATATCTGTAGACACCCTGTACAATATATTCAATGGATGTTCTATTGTTTAACAACATACTGATTTTTAAGCTGATGAAACGTCTTGCTAAAAAAATCTTTCAGTAGACAAAAATACCATAAAACAGTTTTGAAAGTTGTGATCTAGATCATGACCTAGGACCTTTATACAGTGTGTGCCACTGTAAAGACTTAAGTCTATCCCCCACGTCTTGTTTTCACCTGCATTAAATTCAATATGGTGTCTAACCTGACTAAGGTCTATTACATAGTAGGGGTGAGTTTTTTTCTGGTGAGGTCTGCTGGGTCACCTTCAGCATGCAGCAAGTTAGTAAAATAAAGAGGGCGGCATCACGGAAAGTTATCAGTAAAGCCCCGTCCGTGTTTAAATCGGATGTATGGACTTAGTTCAGATTTGTAAACAAGAAAGGGATGTAAGTAGGGATGCACCCAAAATATAGGCTACATATTATTATTATTATTATTATTATTATTATATATATGGCGTGCCGCGTCGTGCCCTTCCCGGCAGTGTTCAGCGCGCATGTTTCACTCTCCTCGTCACTGCTTAATTTAAATTTAACAGTAATTTACTTTCAAATGCCCCAATTGCTGAAGGGTCTGCACAACTTTGTAGTACAATTTCAAGTTGCACTGTTCAAAATACCTGTAGTAGCACAGCAGTGCATACGTACCCGTTTACATTTAATTAAGGTGGACTAGATTAGACCGTAATACAAATTGTTGAGTTTGCCAGGTGCATACAACATATATGACCG